CTCGAGGCACACCACCAACCAAAAATGTCAAACAAATCTGTAGCCGCCTATAGTAACACTATAGTTATTCTGATTTTATTCTTATCTTATCTTAAGTGTCTTGAATAGGAATCAAATAAACACAAAAATGTATTTTTATCATATTTTATATTTCTTCTTTCAAATTGCACTTAACATGTCCACTTCAATATACAAAATATATATAAAATCTAGTCATAAGGAATTATTACATGATTACGCCACCAGTCACTAGTTAAGCACAGACACTCAAAAATTACATATTATTTGCAGATAATTAATTCTTTATCAAAAAATCTTTTTAGACCAATTAGGTGAAATAGGATGATTTTCTACGGCACACCTGACCATCACTCACGGCACACTAGTGTACCGAGGCACAGTGGTTAAAAAACAAACACTGAGGTAGGGGAAGAACCCCCCCCCCCCCCCCCCAGGTTTGTGCTGACCCACACCGGCTGAGTTGAGCCTTAACCGTCTGCGCACGACGAGTCCAGCAGCGTCCGGCACGTCCGCAGGATGTTCCACCCGGGCCGCGGGCTGGGCGGCCCCCGGGCCCGCCGCACCAACATGCACTTTACCAGCGGCTCCGCGGGGGGGCTGTCCTCCTCCTCCTCGCAGAGCTCCACCTACACCCCCAGCAACAGAGAAGCAATGGACCCCATCGCAGGTGAGAGGGCCCTGTGACCCCCCCAGAACACCCTCCCTACCCCCCCAATCCGGCCCCTATTTAACACGTAGACGTTGGCAGAGGAGGGGAAAGTAATGTGTTAGTCCACATTTTTAAGACCTGCAAATGAAATGTAGACTAGCCCTTTAAAGCCTGATCCAAGAATAAAACAAAACAGAAAATTACTTCTTTTTTTTTTGTTTGAATTCCTTATTTGGCCTTTTAACAAAATATGTAAAAAGAAAAAACAGAAATAGATTTTTGATATTAATAATTTATTACTATGCGAAAAGTCAAGATAATTTTTTGTGTAGTTCTCAGATAGTGAGCCAGACCCTGGTTTTTGTTTGCCCTCCCAGTGGACAGACTTCTGCTGCGTCCTGGTCTGGGTTCTGGCCTTCAGTGCATCCTCATCGCGTTGATCCGCTTAATGTTTTTCTTAATGTGTGGGATAGGCTGGTCCCGATCCGATATCTGGATCCGATCGGCCGCCGATATTTGCAAAAAACTGCGTATCGGCCGGCAGAGAAAATGCAGATCCAGACTCCAGATCCTTTTTTTTTTTTTTTTTTTAAAGTCCCACACGAACATTAGCATTAGCATCTGCTAACCCACAGGTCTGTGTCCTAACCATTAAGTCGTTATCAGAGGAAATCCCTGTTCAACATGAGTCTGACAACTAAGTAAGTAGATAAATAACTTTAAACTTTAAAACATGCTCTGATAGGCCGGGATCGGTACAAAAAGCCCTGGCTGATATAAACAAACATTTTCAATCTAAAGATAAACCCACTGAGCCTTTATTAAGAAAAACTACTTGAACCAGGACAAAAAGGTATAGTTATTAAACATAGTTTTTTAAGTCCGATACCACATTAGCATTAGCATTAGCATTAGCGTTGTTATCAGAGTAGATCCCTGTTCAACATGCTCTGATAAGCCGGGATCGGGACATCCCTAGTGTTGGATCCCCCCCCATTAGTGAACAGTTCCTAGTTTTTTCCCTAAAAAAATTTTTCTGTGTGTATTCTGTTTGTTTTCCTCTGGTTTTATTTCTCCTAACAGACGTTTGACGGTTGTTTTCTTCCTGTTTTGGTGTTTTCTCCCCGATTAGTGAACAATTCCTAGTTTTTTCCCTGAATCCCAAGTTTTTCTGTGTGTATTCTGTTTTGTTTTCCTCTGGTTTTAGAGTTAGACTTAGACTTAGACAGACTTTATTGATCCCTTGGGACGACTCCCTCAGGAAATTAAGGTTACCAGCAGCTTAAAGGGCAAACAGTGTCAAGTTAGAATCAAATCAAGCAAGAATATACAAATAGATAAATAAAAATACAAAAAATACAGATTAAGTGCAGTGTATGTGTATGTGATATCTCTTCCCCCTGTCCTGTGTCACCTCCTCGCCCCCAGTGAGGCGTTGTACAGTCT